GTCGGTGGCAACGAGCCAAGGCAAGCGCTAGGCACCGGGCGACCTCGCTTTTCCTTTGGGGCCACGCGAGGCCAGTTGGTGGGAGAGGGAGGCAGGTCTGCTCTGCGTCAAAGAGCCCGCCAGCACAAAGGCACCATTCAACGGCAACGCCAAGCTTGGAGCAAGCAAGAGGGGCCTAAGCCAGACTCGCTTGCTCGCCGTTTCCGAGCTAAACAGGAGAGCCCGCCGGTTCGGTTGGATCAGGGCACCCGGGATCGGCCGCCCCGCCGCCAACTGAAAGGCACCCGCTTTCCCTTCACCGGCCTTGCGGGAGGAGCCCTCACGCTTCCAGGTTTGCTCAGATCCGTTCCAGGGAGGCCCAAACGCCACGGGCATAAGACGGATTCCTGAACCCTCTTCCCGCTGCTGCGCCCTGGCGGGGGTGAGAGATGAGGGACAAGGCCCTGCGGCAGATCCACCTGTGGTTGACCTCCCTCCTCCTCCTCCTCCTCGCACGTGTGTCATCAAAATAAAAAGGGGGGCGGGGAGCAGCCGAGAAGTAAATACTGAGTAATAAACAGCAATCAAGAGGAGAAACTGAAAGAAGCTGTCAGCCTTCAAGATTTTTCTCCCTTTGCTTTGCATCTTTCGGCTGTCATAAGTAGGGGGCGGGGGGATGGTTATGGGAAGTGAGCTGGAGGTGTTACAAACCAGAAGTGTATAAGCTGGGGGGGTGGGTGTACATTCTTGCTTAGGTTTCTATCCTATGCTATGCGCAGCTGCAACCCTTTATCAAACTATGTCAGGGTCAATGGACAGAAGCCTCAAAACCACCTGGAGATGCCCACATGATGATATACACAACTTTTAATTGGATGAGCCAATTGAATTATTGGGGATGGGAACATTGCCATTACTTTGTATATGTGATTTACGCACCCATTTTCTCAGATTCAGAATTCTTTTGTTGCTACCACTTGATTTCCAGTAAAAGATACCTTTCCTCTGATTAAAGGAGTCTAAGTATTTCTTTCTTGGATTTTGAATGGAGCACCAGCTGACAGAAGCGGCTAGTTGCTGAGCGACCTTGTCAGGGTCCCCCCCCCCCATCACCCACCTCACCCCCACCCCCGCACGCCAGCTTTTATTGAAAGCAGTCAGGCTGGGTGGGCTGCCGTCTGCCAGCGCACCGAAGTGGAAGGCTTGCTTGCCCGATCTTGTCAATGCCCGCGAAGCTGGGAGACGCTGCCGGAGAGGTAAAACTCTCCCGCTCTCCTGACAGCAGCCGCGATCTCAAGGCACTTCCCAGCTCCCTGACTGCCGACTAAGAGAGAAGGGTGGTCTTTGCTGGGACCTTTTCAGGGCAAGTCCATCTGGGAGTCAGTCCCAGCACGCTGTCCTTGTGCGAAAGAAGCCGCCTTTTCTGCAAATCTCTTGAGGCATCTTTTCTTCCTTAGGGAATCCCATTATACCCAGTTTGCAGCTTCATCCTGCAATCTGGCTTGTGTGATTTAGACCATTCTAGGGGCCTGCGTTCCTTCTCTAAGATCAAACATTTAGGGACATTTGAAACAGCTGGATGCCAGAACAGGGCCCGAACTTTGCTGCTTTCCCACGAGAAGCAAGTTGCACTGGTTTGGGGGGGGGGGGGGGGGGCTGCCACTTCGAGAAAGCCTTGGCACAAAGAGAAAGGTTTGCATCAGCCAAGCTGCCTGTGTGCCAGTGCCTGCACTGAAGCCATTTTCTTAACCAGATTTGTTGGCCCAATATCATTTCCCACTCAATGTTATAGGTGCTTCTCAGGGAAAGTAGGGATGAAACAGAATTCCTATTCCTCTCCCTCCCCCAGCCTGTCCCCAGATCTAATCCTCAGAAGAATTGGATGTGACTGCTGGAAATCCACTAAATTGGATGTGCCATTGGAAATCCACTAAATCAGCAAAGGAGCACTCACATAAAGTCTCCCCCTCTGTCTCTCTGGTTTTTCTCATGAAGAAAATGGGGGGGGGGCATTGGTCCAAAAGAATGAACGACCCAAGAGACAGAACCACCTTAAGTGTAATGCTCTTTTCTGTTATCTTTGTGTCAGCTGGGTGAGGTCAACAATGCTTTCCATACTCCAGTGGAGTTTTCAAGGTTCCTACCCTGAAGTCCAAAAGCTGAATTGTGGGTTTGAGGGGCGCTGTAAGAATTGTCTCCTATTCCATGACCCCCTCCCTTGAACAAAACTGAAACTGAATGGAAAGGCAATAGCCATCCCCCCCACCCCTTCAGTCCAATTTCCTTCTCTTTTCCTTGGCACAACAACAAACACAAGGGATTCAAACTGGCTAAAACTGAAGTATATAAAATACTTCTTATAGAGATGAACACAAGCTTAATTCTCTCTCTCTCTCACACACACACACACACACACACACACACTGAACACAAAGGTTCTTTCCAAACCTTTCCTTTGCTCATTATACTTTTATGACCCTCATAAATTATGAGATCCTGTTAACATAATATTCTATAGTCACTGACTGTATAAAATGTGCAAAGTTGATGTTCTATTCAAAATAATTTTTAGAAGAAGCCTAAAGATTCCTGCCACTCAACACTCATAGTCAAAAGAAAAGTTGGGATACAGTAATCCAACCAAAAAGTATATTACCACGATCAGCGCTCTAAATCTGGCTAGTAAGACTGATTTAAAAGTAGATCAGATAAGCAGGCTATTAGAGACCAACTGAAACCAAAGCTAAGTAAGAAATCTGTTTCACTCAGTTCAACTAGATGCAAGATCCCGTCTTAAAAAGAGACACCGATCAATATCAAGAATCTGTTAAAATCAAACTATTTTTCCATTTAAAATCTTAAATAGGTCTATTTTGTTCAAATTATTCAAATATCTTCCGATGAAGTGATTTGGAGATCTGATTATATAGGTTAAAATGTTAGTCCATGTTCTCTGGATTGTATTTAAGAAATTAAAAAGTAACCCATATTATTTCAAAAGTAAATAAGAATTTATCCAAAAATCAAGGATAAGTTCTATAAATTCTAAATTTAAATTTCCATATGACTCCTTTCTTGAGATTAAATCCCACTTTACTTAATATAGTTCCCTTCAAAACACATACAAAATACACAGCCCCAGTGCATTGTCCTAATACTTCAAAACATTTTTAAAAGGAGCATTAAAAAATTACTACAATACTGCAATTGCTTGTGATTAATTCCTTAGTGGGAGTAAAAATAAAAATCCAATCAACTAAACCCAGATTTAATAGTACTACCCTTTGTTTCTGAGCCCTCCTTTCTTATCTCCTTGGAGGCCCAGCCAAGGTAAGAAGGCGCCTGATTGATCAATTCTTAATTAAATTAGTCTGAATTTATTTACTATTTGTGGCCCTTAACAATCCAGGGACAATTACTGCCAAGTGTTGCCCTTAGATTAGATCAGCGATTTGATAGGAGGTTGCTTTCTCTTGAAAATTTACACTGGTAGAGCTTCTCTTCACTGCTTCTCTGATGGTAGACCAGTCCCTTTCTGCTAAAAAGATTGCATTGGTTGATTGGTTAGTTATTATGGGAAAGGCCTTCCTTGTATCCCTCAAACTCCTCTATTCAGGGATTGACCTAAAGGTGAGCTTCTTCATTTGACAAGACTTAACCTTATGCTCCTGCAGTCATCCCCCAAGGCAATTTATTCTATTTAAGAAAAAAAAGGCAGAGAAATTATAAAAGAAGGTGGGTGGGAATCCAAATAATTGGTAGGCGAAGGAAGCAGGGGCGGGGGGGGGGGGGGGCTAGTTGCCCTTAAAAATTCCTCCCACTCACAATCATAAGAATCATAAGAATCAGCTAATGATTTTATGGAATCTAATCTAGCATTAGTTTTGGTGGACTAGAAGCATAGACTAGACCAAAACAATATTGGAAATCTTTATGATACTTCTGGATGTCTTTCACTCTTTACATTTTGAAAATTAAAACAAACAAAAATAACGTGCACGCGCGCACACACACAATACGAATAGCCCCTTTGTCTAGAAGGGGAAAAAAGGTAGGAGGGAATATATGTTTAGGATCCAATCTGGGTCGGTCACCGACCCAGGTTGCATCTCGCAACATTATCCTGGGACAGATACATTTGCCTTCATTTGTGAAATAAATATTCAGTTAAGAGTGTTTCATATAAATGAATAATCAATAAAGAATGCTAAGGCACAAATAACTATTAAAAAGTCAAACAGGCTGTAAAATGCTTTACATACTAGGATGAGTGAAAGGGGGAGAAACATATATTAAAAATGATGTACATTCAGAAAGGTTCAATGCAATATTGGACATGCTTGCTCAGAAGAAAAAGTCCTGCACAAATGAGTGGCATTTACTTCTGTGTAAACATACTCAGACTTGAAACCAGAAAATGCTGCTAAAAATAGCAGGTTTACATACACCCATTATTTGTTTCTAGACCTTTTTATGACTTCTGTAATGCCGCCTTCCTTTATGCGTCATATAGCAATGCCTGTAAGTTCAATTAGCCAAATGTCTCCTGACCTTTAGTTCTAATGCAAGTCAATTGTGATGGTTTGGCTGCTGAGATTTTTGTTAATTTTTCTCCTAGTGAATTTTTCTCCTAGATTCCAAAGATATAATAAACATAAATCTCAAAACTGTAACCATAATTATTCTATCAAGCAAGTGATTGATTCAGAGCATTTGTTTTATGTCACTTTTAACTTCATCCAAAAGTCCATCTGACAGTGCATTCCACTGAAAACAGGGTAAAACAGATGGAATCAATGGCGGTTTACTTACTGATAAAATAATTCAGCAGTGATGCTATAAATTAAAATAGATTTGCCAGCACTCAAAAGTCTTGCAAATACAGTTACTCAGAAGGGGTTTTTAAAATACAAAACTACTGTTTTGATTTATCACTAAAAATAATAATTCTATTATTCATGTTTTTGGCTGATAGATTTCTAAAAAATTTAATTTAAAAAGAGGGATGAATATATCCAGACTTTTGGTCCAATTGAATGGTAATTTATTAATAAACATAGTCAATAACTTCAAGGGTATCTTCAACAACAACAAAAGGAAAAATGATAAAATGATAAAATAAGATTAATACAATCCCCCTTTTTTATATATAATGGAAGAAGAAGAAAATGAGCGTTTCAGGTCATTTTAAAGTCAAGCGGTTTTTTTTTTTTTTTTTCTGATAAAGGAGTGGGGCAAACATTTTTGTTGTTTGGTCCGAACGATTCAACAACAGATTTAAAAATAAATTACTATGTTCCATTTACACTTTAAAACAAGTCTTTGTGTACAAAACAGTCCTTTACCGGGGTGGGGGGGGGGGGAGAGGAAGAGAGCAAGAGAAAAGGTGAAGAAAAGGAGAGAAGAAACAACGCGTGTACTGCGCAATCCAGGTTGCGTAGGAGTCAACGGGCAAAAACGGGCATTCTTACTGCTTTTTGGAAAAGGCGATGCGCCTGGTTCACAGAGGGGCGAGGAGCCCTGGCTGGAATCAAACGGCAAAACTCCCACCCGTGTTTTGGGAGTCTCGTTTCGCGGCCTGCCTTGCGCGCTCAGTTGCGGGGATGCGCCTCCTCGGGTCGCCATCCAACCAGTCAAGCGCAAGGCAGGCAGCCATCCAAGCAGTCTGGCGCAGGGAGAGCGCGCAGATGGAAACTGGGGGGGGGGGGGGGGAGGGGGGGAGGTTTTATAAGAAAAAAGGGGGGGGGGGGAGAAAAAGCATACAAACTTACGTGTTATTTGGTGTAACACTGTCCTTAAACAAACCATAGACTTAATAATTATTTACTGGGCAAACGCCGTCTTTGCACGGAATAGTTTTGGGGGTTTTTTTCCCCCTCTTTGGTTTGGTGGGGGAAGGAAGGCCGGGAAGGGCCCGAACGGGAGTTCTTCATATCAGCCTCCCCGCTCGCTGGCTGGGCTCGGCGCCTCTTTCCCTTCCCCCGCTGCCGGCGGTCAAAACTTGCTGCAGTCGTAGACGAAGGCGCCTGAAGGGCGATAAAGGCTTTGGCTGGCGGGAAAGGCCATTTGGCAGCTGCTCACCGAGCCGCTGCCGTTGCCGCCAGGAGAGTTGTTCAAGCCCAGGCGCTGGGAGGACTCGAACATGTCCCTCACGGCATGGAAGTTCTGCTGCTGGCCCGAGTAGACCGCCGCCGGCGAGGAGGAGGAGGCCGACGTAGCCGAAGCGGGGCCCAAATGCGTCAGCTCGCCTACCGCCGAGGCTTGGTTGAGGTACCAAGAGGCCAAGCGGCCGCCGCCTTGAGGGTGCCCCTCCTGAGGGCTCAAGCTGAGGGAAGAGGCGCTACTGCTACTGCTGGCCGCCAGGCTGTACTCGGGCAGCGGGTCCGGCTCGACGGGGCTGCTGGCCAAGTGGCCCCCGCCGCTTCGGTCCCCTCCGCTGTTGAGCCCCGTCCCTCCCCCTGAGGCCGCACCGGCGGCCGCGTAGAGACTCATGGCCTGCAAGTTGCAGTGGTAACTGGTGCTGGTGCTGGTGGTGGTACAGCCGCCCGCCGGCGAGGCCGCGCTTGCCGAGCTGCTGGTGGTGTTGACGCCCTGACTGCAGGGGGCGCTGTAGAGCGAGCTCTGAGCCGCCGCCGCCGCCGCCGGGGAATAGCAGCTGCTGCTCAAGGCTAGAGCGGCTGTCCTGGAGGTGGAGGCGGTGGACGAGGAAGAGGAGGAGGAGGAGGCCGCCGAGGAAGTGGCGGACGGCGGCAAAGCCAGGAGTTCGGCGGGGGCGCCCTGAGGCGAGGTGCGCAGGGAAGTCATGATGATGTTGTCCACGCTGAAGCCCCCACCGCCGGGAAGATGGTGCGCCGGGGGGTGATGGAGGGCGGCGTGGTGGTGGGGGTGCGGATGATGGTGGTGGGGGTGCTGGTGCTGGTGAGGATGATGGGGGTGGTGCTGACTCGGCGGCTGGGACTCGGCGGCTCCGCTGGATTCCAAGCCCAGCGCTCGGCCACCGCGCGGGCTGCCGCCTCCTCCTCCTCCTCCTCCGCTGGAGAGGCTGCTGGTGCTGGAGCTCTCCGGGCTTTCGATCTTGGGCACGGGCGCTCCTCTCAGCGGGGACAGGGCTTGCGGGGGAGACGCCGAGCCGTTCTCTGTCTTGATGTCCTGAAGTCTGACGGGGGGAGGCGGCTGCTGCTGTTGCTGCTGCTGCTGCGGGCCTCCCTCTTGCGGCTGGTGCCGCTGAGGCGGTGGCGGCGGCTCCTTCAGCTGGAGGCGCTCCTTCTCCTCCTTGTCCTTGACGGCGTCTTTTTTCTTGAAGCGGCGGCGGCGGCGGAGGAAGGAGCCGTTCTCGAACATGTTGTAGGAATCCGGATCGAGGGTCCAGTAGCTGCCCTTGCCGGGCTTCTTGTCGTCGCGGGGCACCTTGACGAAGCACTCGTTGAGCGAGAGGTTGTGCCGGATGGAGTTCTGCCAGCCCTGCTTGTTGTCCCGGTAGAAGGGGAAGCGCTCCATGATGAACTGGTAGATGCCGTTCAGCGTGATCTTCTTCTCGGGCGCGTTCTGGATGGCCATGGTGATGAGCGCGATGTAGCTGTAGGGCGGCTTGACCAGGTCCTTGGGCTGCGGCTGCGGCGGGTACGGCCCGTACGGTCTGCCTATGCCGCCGGGGCCCCCGCCTCCGCCGGGGTACTGCTCATGAGCTGCCGGGTGAGTCGAGTACATGCTCATGGGGGCAGGCATGGCCGCGTAGCCCCCTCCGGCCGCCGCCCGGTAGTAGCTCTGCTCACCGCCGAGGTAAGGTACCACTCCCAGCGAGTTGGGGCTGGACACCGAATAGCGAGCCTGCATGGCCTCCCTTCCGGCAGCCCAGCCGGACCAAGCAGCAGCAGACTGGCCGCCTCCTCCGCCGCCGCCTCCGCCGCCGCCTCCTCCTCCCCCGCCGCCGCCTCCTCTGCTTTCCCCCCTCCACCCCTCCGCAAATCCGGAGCCAAAAAAGTATAAACCAGGAGAGGCGACCAGGATTTTCCTTTTTTCCAAAAAGAAGAAGAAAAAAAGCGGGGGGAAGTAAACCAACCGCCCCCCCCCTCTAGATCCTATTCGGTTTTTTCCCTTCCTCGGCTCAAAAGGAAAAGGATCGCAAAAAAATTATCAGAAAATAAAATAGCCAGCGAGCAAAGGGAGGAGGGGTGAGAGGGGGGACTCGATCTCCTTCCCTCCCCCCTCCTCCTCCTCCTGGGTTCTTCTTAAACCGAGGCGCCGACACTCCACGGAAGCGGCCGCCGCCGAGAAGAAAAGTTAGTTACTTCCATCGAGCACAAAAATAGAAAGGCGCGCACTCACGGGAGCCCGCTCCGTTTCCCGAGCTGTTTTTTCCCGCGGAGCTCGCCAACAGATTGACCAACGCTGTCCCAGCCAGGCGAAGTAAACAGCAGGCAAGAGAGGAGGGAGGGGGGGGAAAGTGTGGAGAAAGAGGCCCCGGTCCGGATCTCTCTCTCCCCCCCTCCTCTTCCTCCTTTCTGGTCTAAAGCTCGGTTTAGGACGAAAGATCCACCTTCTCTCCAACGCCTCCGGGTTGAAGGGCTGTCCCGGTCTCCGTCTCGGCTTTCCTCTCCTTTGCTCAGCCGCGAACTGCTCGGAAAGGCGCCGGGAAAAAAACTTCTGAACTTTTGAGCATCCGTCGCGGAGGCAAAGACTTTTTTACGCACTCGCTGGAGTTTCCCCCCCTCCCTTCTCCCCCTTTTCTTTCCAGGCCATGAAGCTCCGCCCTGTCGGACTGCTCAGCCAATGAAAAGGCGGAGGCGAGTTCTGAATGGGCGTCGGAGAGAAAACGTTGCTGCTTAATACTCCAGAAGTTGCTGCCGTCGCCGCTCGGAGGGTTACAGTTGCGCGCTCTCTCTCTCTACACACACACACGGACCCCTTATCCATCTCTCCCCTCCCATATACGGCTTTTCTAGCCCCCTTCCTCGCACAGGACGTTTGGTGGATCAAATGGCAGTTATCTACTCGTCCGGAATGAAAACACGCACGCCCCAGTCACTCATCAAGAGGCAAAAATCGCTTTAACCACAGTAATATCTTTGTTAATACCCCTAGGTATTTTGGAAGGCTTTGCAGAAGATTAACCGAGCTTGCGATAGGCTCAACGTTAGATTTCGTGAGGGTGGGGGAGATATTGAGGTGGTAGCGGATGATATCGGGAAAAGAAATCTTGTTAGCTGTGCTGAACGGAAAGAGAAATCGCCAAACCCGTTTGAAGAGTGTTAAATATCTCGGTCTGACCCGGTTGCAAACGGTACTGTAGCGGGTTTCCAGAGCTTTTCATCGGACTGCATCTACTACTTTTTTTTTTCCATTCCAAGAAGGGGTTTGGCAAAATTGGGTGTGTGTGTGTGTTTCTAATCCATCGTTTGGAGATTTTAAGCAGCAACATAAATGACGACTTTCAAAGGGAAACAAATAAACGGGAACTCTAACTCTCCGCGTGTGTCAGGTTGAGATTTTTCTATGAATCTTGCAAAAGAAGAGCACGGCTATGAGAACATAGCGTCTCTAGCAACATCTAAAATGTGTTTGCAAATGTGGATATTTATTGGCAATTTGGATGCGAGCGAGCTCTTCCCTCACTACGGTTTGTACGGGAGGCTCTTACTCGCCTGACAGCGCTCTCATTCCTCAGATCCTCTGATCTCCTCCCTCTTTAAGCTTGGCGGACTCCGCTCACGACTTCGCCTTACCTGAATGGCAGCGACTTCAAGCCACCCGGTTACCCCCATACCTTCTCTCAAGCTTATGCCTCACTTGGCAAGGCCTTGGGTTGCCCGAACGAGACTCTCTGATCTCCCCCATCGGGCCCTGTCGCCTGCCTGTATGCGAGCTTCCTTCTACTACAGCTGCCCAGAGTTTTCTTGGAGGTTACTGCTTCTTCCAGAGTCACCAGGGGCTGCGGGGAGGGGGGCATGGCAAATGGCCTTCCAGTCACCTCAGAAGACTGGCTCAAGATGAGAAGGAAAGAGACACCCCCCTCCACGCCATGTTTCCCAGGTCCCCAAAATCTCACCCTTCCCCGCTCCAGCCAGCTGTTTGATCCAACCTCCAGGGACAGATTCCTTTCCTTCCCTAACATTTGACCAGCTTTTGACAAGTATTCAGGGAGGCAGGCGGGCAGGATTTAGGAAAATCTGTGTGTACAACACCGCCCCCCCCTTAGTTAACTTTATAAGCGATAAGGTATTAAGCCTCTGGGTCGACGGGGTGGTGGGAGAAAGGAAGAGAAATGAACGGGCCTGGGGTCATCCCCACTCCCCCAACACATTGCCTACTAATTAAATAAACCCTGAGTTGCTGGAGACTTTTCACAAGAACCTCTCTGGCTGGTCTTCCGTGAGGAAAACCAAGAAAGATGGCTGCTGGTTTTGTGGGTGAAGAGAAGGGAGATGGAGAAATCTGGTAGACTCCCAATTGTGACTGCCCGGCCCTAAAAGCCGTCCATTTCAGAACGATGTAAAAAATGATGGGTCGAGGAAAATATCCCCCTCGTGTTTTAATATAATCATTCTAGAGCAATCTACCAAGGAAAGTTACAAGGTTGGGGGAAAATGTGTCCGGACTTTACATTGACATGAAATCAGTTCTGTTATGCCCTTATTTCCCCAACCCGCTCTTTTCAGAAGACTTCTGAGAAACGCCTTTGACAGACAGGAGGAAACCCTTTAAGGACAGAAGGGGAGATTAACAGGGGCTGGGCTTAAAGGCCCCTTTGCCTTATTGAGGACAGCAGCCTGGCCAAAGTGAAGAACCCTAAAAGCCCATTGAGGCTTCCAGATTTCCCCCTGTTGATCTCTCCCAGATCTGGATTGTCCAAAGGTGCTCTGTGTTGTGGGGGCCATTGTTCTGCACAAGGTCTTTCTGAAAGAGTGACAACAGTAGCCCAAGGGGACACTTGGAAGAGTTCCCCTTTTGCCTCTCCAACCACAGCCCCAGGCCAGGGGGACTTTCCTGGCTTTTTAGCGGAGATTGGTGGTTCTTACAGCATCGCACCTCAGCTGAATGTAAGAACAGGTGGCAGGTTTTTTTTTTCCTTTCTCCAGCCCCTAGTCCTCTTCCTGTGTCTTGATAATCAACCCTAATTGTGACTTGATCAATCATTAATAGGAACTATTTTTAAACATGTCCTGGAAGGGGGCTGGAGGCATGCATGAGAGTTGATATCAGAGGCTCACTTCATCCCGAGGTGTTAATTTGTCCTTTACACAAACAGCAAATTCTGTCGCTCCCTTTCATATCCCTTTTTCCCAAGCCCCTTGGAGGCTGGGCATCCCGTATCCTGGAATATTTTCCCTCTTGTACAGCTGATGAGCAGGCAGTTCCTCTGTTACTCCAGCCTCAGCTCCTCCGTTATGAAAACTAACTTTGATTCCAAGCCTGCCCAATATCTATGGCCAGTATTTTTTCCCCATTGATCTTGAGAACCAATTGTGGGTATTAGCAAGGGAGGGGGCGTTGGGTGGACAGCTGAAGTGAGGTGTTCCTGCAAACTCCTAGCCTGACCTTAGGCTGTGATTTATTTGCCAGTGAAGATTTGTTTATTTATTGCTATTATTTATTTATTGGAAAGTAAATCCAGTTAGGTTCAATAGGACAATCCCCCAATAATTATTACATTCTGCCTTCTCTCTTTGCCAATGTGTTCTTTATTGATATCCTACTTTTATTGTTTTTTTAAAAAAATAAATAACTCAAGGCAGTGAATATATCTAATTGACTTTCCTCCTCCTATTTTCCCTACAACAACCACCCTGTGAGGGGTTGAGAGAGTGTGTGACTGGCCCAAGACCACCAAGTTAGCAAAAGTGACAACTACCCTCTCCAGATTTAGTTGGCAGTTAAGGCCTGCCAAGATCTGTGGATATTATTCTCCAGAGGTTGTAACTCTCTAGACCCCCAAAATGGCATTGTCCCTTTCAATTCAGCAAAATTTATTTCTGAATTGTCTGTCTAGAATTGGGCTACCAAGATTATTGGACATAGTTAAAGTTGACTCCGAATTGGGGACGTCAAATATTCTGACATCTCAGCTCCCTTGTTTCAAGCTAAAGAGTTGTTCAAAAGCGAGGCCTGACCTCACACCTCTTTACACACCTGGAGCAAGAGCACATGTCCGCTGACCTAATTAGAATTCACCCTTCAGTAAATGAACCCAGAGTTTCAACTGCCAAGTATATCATTGCTGGTGCAGTTTACATGGGTTTTGGGAGGGCGGGCAAACTGGACTCCCAACTTAGCCTCTTGGCTTGCTTCTGTGGCGGGTATGGAAAGAACCCCTTGTGACTTGGGTGATCGAAGTCTCTGGTGTGATTATGACCAGTTCTATTTTCCCCCACCTGGTGCTTTCCAGACTACATTTTAAAAAATTATCGGCATAATTAATAAGGTTCTTGACTAAGTACGATCGGAATATCCAACACATTTCGAGGTCACCTTGGCTGGAGACGGTTGTCAAGTCGGTATTCCACTACAAGGCGATGCTGGAATCTGAAGATGGGAAGAATTGCTTTCGTGTCTTTGTTCTCTCCCGTGAAGCTTGAGTTCCCAGCGCAATTTCTGTCTCGTGTTTTCGAGATCGCAGTTCTACAGATCCCCCTCTTTGATCTACGGTCAGATTTGTTTCTAAGAAAGGCCATTCGATGTGAATAGGTCCTAAAACCGAATGCCTTTCGATTCAGAATGGCTTCAGCGGGACAGCGCATCATCATTCCAAATATCTGGATTTTAAGGATGGCCGGCTCGGGATTTGTACTCCCGGGTTTTACATGCTCCTCTCTGGCTTGAGAGCAAGATAATGGTCGATCCTGAAAGCATCGACTTTGACCACCAAAGCAGGCTTGTTTCCAGTTCAATTCCACGGAGGGGGCAGATCTGGCTCCCGATTCAACCACCCTGAAGCCATCGATAAAATTGATCAAGTGAAGCGGATTGAAATGCTGGTGGTTGCAGGAATTAAGGAAGGGAAGCAAATTACTGGTGTTACTTTTGCCAGTCAGACCACCACCAGCACCACCCCAAAAATATTCCCAGATCAGTTTGGAGGAGGGAGAAGGAGCAGGGATAGCTGCTGAATATTCTACTACCAGCCATCCCACAGCTTTCAAAAGTTTTTGTTTGTTCGTTTGTTTATTTTGAAGACGCGGGACTACTAAACCGAAGGAATTTGGAGTGGGGGCTTGGCTTACAAAACCATCCTCAATGAATATTCAACGACCTGTAGGCAAAAAAGCTTTCTTTCTCCAAAATCAGTGCTTTCTGTTTATTCGGAGGGGAATTAGCGAAGATCCGGTGCGGAGAAAGCTTTTCCTCCCACTAATTTTAGCGGAATGTACTTTTGAGATAGAGTAGTGTTAGAAGATCCATTTCGTCAGTGTCTCTTCCAGCTCCGGTCCTTTCTGCTCCTTTGCCTTTAGGACAAATCTTTTCCTCTGGGCTCAAGAGGGATAAGCAAAGACAAGGGGCGAGCGGAGGAGTGGTGAGGGGAGGTAGGATTTTACTCTCGCTGCTGGAGCGGGACGCCGTCCTTTAAGCAACGAGCTGCGAAGAACTCAAACCCAGGAGGACTAAAATCAAAGGGCTAAAGGGCGCCGGCGAGGCACAACCGCTTTCCCGAGGAGATCCCACCGGGGGATCCGTCCTGGCTACCTTGCAACCCGAACACTGAAGTATCTGGAGTATTGGAAGCATTTAAGCAGGTGCTCCCAAGGGAAAGTCGTTTTTTTTCTAGATCCTGCACGTTTTCAAAACGAGCACATTTAATTCGAAGAACAAAATCCTATTAACCACCTCCCTCCCTTGCCAAATGCTAAGGGAGGAAGGGAATCAAAAAGAAAACCAGTTTGCCCCAGAAAGCTTTATCTTTCTTCAGGCCTCTGGTTCGCGTTTCCTTTCCTTCCTTGGTCCCAGCTTCCTTCCTGTCTGTCGCGGCTTTTCGAAGGCCGGGAGTGGGGGGGGGGGGGGGGGGGAGAGGGGAGAGAAGGCGTGGAGTAACGGGTTGCGAGTCGTTAGCTTTCTCCAACCTAATGCCAGCCTGATATGACACAACTGCAGCTTTCATCATCCTCAGCTAGCCGCCCGACGGGAGTTATTGCCCAACCCCTCTGGAAGGCGTTAGGTAAGGGATATTCACCATTTGTGGTTCTTAGCTTTCTATGATAAATCTGTTTTGCTTCTTTGACTCGCGGGAGGGAAACGGAACTGATCTCAAGAGAGAAATACAATCCATCCCGACTTAATGACTTCTCCGGAGTAAACCCATTGAGTTCCATTGTCTTTCCTAGGGGGTAAATAACGGAGCCACGGCTCTCCTCTCAGCAGGCATTGTGCGCTACCTCCTGCCTTTCCCGGAAAGCTCTCCCGTGCAAGTCCAGTTTTCCATACATTAATAGCTGAAATACCGAATACTTCTGATTTTTGCAAAACGGGCGAAAAGCGTTGGTAGCTGTTGCTATTCAGCGGGGGGGAGCAGGAGTGGGGGGGGAAATGTCCTTCTGCCCGGGCCAGTTCAGTCCCTCGCTAAGGGGTGGGTGTGGCAGAAACTGGCTCCTTTCCGCAACTGCCCTAATAAATGCAATCTCCACATTAATCGGGTTGTTTCTTCTTCCTTGCGCATGGGTGTAGAAACCGGCTGATGGCGCTGCGCGTCCCCCCCCTTAGAGAACGCAAGAGGTACCAACGCTCGTGAAGTTACCGGAGGGATCCCGCATTCCTACTCCGCGCGTTTCATGCAGAGCAGAAAGGAAGCTGGCCGAGCTGCAGTGGGAGAGTGGAAGGAAAAACAGCCCCTTTCTTCCTGCGTCCCGATCCCCAATTTGTCGGCAGGGAGACCTGGTTTTCTCAGCGTAAGCCAACAAAAGGAGGCGACTCCAGTTGCACTTATTTCCACCGCGCGTCCCGGTTACGGTTCGAGAAACCTGCGTTGATAAAACATTGGTTTAAGGTAACCCCGGGTAGGGGGTGGGGGGCGTGTGGCCGCAGGTCGGCTGTCTTTGTGTCTTGATCAGAACTTTTCCTGATTTTTTTTAGGGTTCAGAGCGCCCCCTGATGGAGCAGGGTTGCAATAATAATTGTCGTTTTTGAACACCCGCTTGGGTGCTGTTGAGAGGAGAGGGGTGGCATCAGTGATGTCACATCACGTACATCAAGCTGTCATTGTGCAATTGATGCCCATTATGTCATCAGGCTTCCACTGGACGCCTGTATCTAAAGACCCTGCCTAGTGAAGTCATCTTTAGATAGAGCAAATTAAACTTATCTCTAGAGACATTTCTATAAACAGGGAAAGGAATTGAGACCCTTTCTAGGAATTTGTAACATGTTCAGAAGCCCATTGCTGGTGCAGCATAAAGCCCATCTGCTAGAGATCTAGCAGTACAGAGGCAGTTGAATGATGTTGTAGATCCCTAGTATGCAAAAAAATCTTGTGCTTAACTTGACAAATTGTGCTAAATCCTGAAGGTGGGTGCTGCTGCTTGCAACTCAGTATGTTATGTGAACGTGGTCATCCTCAAACAATGACTAATGACTTAGCTCTAGTCTAAACCCAGCAATCATGGCTTAATGTGATTGGTGAGCTCAGCTGACAGGTTATAATCAGAAGTCTCATTGAGATTAGAGCAGAGGGTCTTCAAAATAGGATTATGAGGGCAACTGCAGTAGAAATCATTCCAGTGCACCCAGAGGTGGTATTCAGCAGGTTCTGACCAGTTCTGGAGAACCTGTAGCAGAAATTTTGAGTAGTTCGGAGAACCGGCAAACCCCACCTCTGACTGGCCCCGCCCCCATCTAGTCTCTGCTTCCCGAGTCCCAGCTGATCGGCTGGGTCTCCTTTTGTTGCCCTGCACAGGAAAACGGAGCTGGAAAGCAGGTCAGTGGGGTGGGGAGAGAGTGCGGATTTTGCAGTAACCTTCCCCTGCCACACCCACCAAGCCACGCCCACAGAACCGGTAGTAAAAAATTTTTGAATCCCACCACTGAGTGCGCCATAGATGCAAATTTGCAAATGACACCATTGTCTTCCTGCAGATGCTCATTTGTACCCCTCTGCTTTTATTCCTATAAACTGGTATTAAGAGGCTACTACATCTGATTTCAGACATAAATTGGGGAACAACTTCACTTATCCATCATTTTCTGTGATTTTTTTTCAAAATTCAGTTCATACTGGTAGTCCTTGACTTACAATAGTTCCTTTAGGGATCGTTCAAAGTTGCAACGGCCCTGAAAAAAAGGGGCTTATGACAGTTTCTCACACTTATGACCATTGCAACATCCCCACGGTCACATGCTCAAAATTCAGATGCTTGGCAACTGGTTTATACTTATGATGGTTGTGGTATCCCACCTGGGGTCATGTAATACCCCTTTTGCCACCTTCTGACAAGCAAAGTCAATGGGGAAGCCACTGACCTGCTTAACAATGGTGGGACTAACAACTGCAACGATTCATTTAACAACTATAGCAAGAAAGGTCATAAAATGGGGCAAAACTCACTTAACAAACGTCTCATTTAGCAACATAAATTTTGAGCTCAATTGTGGTCGTAAGTGTACAAGCATTTCAGCCCCAGTGGTTGTGGACAAATCTCCGCAGATAAGGATTATCACTAGTCCACTGCCTTTGCTGAATCTTCATCGTACAGTGCATTCTTTTGGAACATCCGAAATTCAGGTGGTGATTTTCCAACCCTCCATTCCCCAACAGGAAGATGTAGCAATGAAGAATACTTTGCTCTCTCTACGCTACTTTCTGCTATCCTTCATTTGAAAGGTTTGGGAGGAGCATGGTAGCAGTTCGAATGTGACTGCAATTGCCAGGCATTTCACCCCTAATGAAAATTGTGCAAGCAATTTTGATAAGTTACAAATTGCCTCTTCTATCTCAATCTCAAGGCATGCCAAGCCAACACCCACAGAACAGACTCTGAGGTCATCTCCTCATTTATGTCCAGCTAATCTTCCGAGAAAAGAGGACTGTCAAGCAGGATGGGGACAGACCAAACCTGAGCTGTGCAAAGAAAAAAGTAAAGACATGCCTTCTAAATATGTAAAACCAAAGATGCAATCTCTAACTCATTTACTTTGGGAATAAGTCCCACTGAATACAGTTTAGCTTGCTTCCTGTGGCACCAGCTTGGATGGAATGGCAAAGGATTATTTTGAAACAAATAAATGGTGGGATTCCAAGGTATAGTCTGTTGCAATTGCAGGGACAGCTTAAGCTAAGAAACCAGACCATTCAGAATAGACCTAATTGGTGATAATTACGAGGGTGGTTAGTGATCTTTCCCTATCTGTAGTTTTTGTGTCACCAAAAGTATTATTTGCAATTTGTGGCTATTTAGGCCCAAGGTTTACTCTTCTAAAAACCAATAATGAAAAGAGTCCTTTGAAAACAAAGCAAATGTTAATCACTACAACTGTGTGTGTGGGATTTGTCTGGGCTACCAGGTATAACAGAAAGGGGCAACTTTTGGGTACCTCAGACCATTAAATATTTTTGAAGAGGCAAGGACTACAGTACATGAGGCAGTGCAGTATATACATATATGATCAGAATTCCCATTCCCTTTTTGTTTTCTTAAGGGATTTTAAAAAATGTATGTTGCATGTATTCTTGGAGTCGCCAGGAGTAAAAATTATTGACTCAAGGAAAAAAAATTTAAAACCTGTTTTGAATTCCACACTTCCATGAACTTACTAGGTTCTGGGATCAGAGTTTGGTCACTTTTGATTGTAACTGAATGTTTTCAAAGTATATGTTGCAGGGAAGCATGCTCACTCACCTATTTCCCGCCCTTTAAAGGAATATTTGAAAACCACTGCTACCTCCATCTGCCTCCTTAAATTAGCTTCTCTTATAAGATAGATGGCTAAGAATGGCAATAAGAGTTTGAAGCAGTCAATTTATCCCTGTCAATAAAACTTCAAATTGCTGGTAAGATTATCATGTGGTTGATGGCCTGTCTATGAAAAGTGGGTTTCTCCCATCTACTGAAAATTACATTTCTGTGAAACAATGTCTTCCTAAATATCCTTGTATAGCAATATTAAATTTTTTAGATTTGTTTTTAGCACAGAGAATCGAAACAGGCAACTACCCTTCTACAGTAAGAAAGTATTAAATGAAAAACATGTGGATCATCATAATGGAATGAATTGAAGAAGATATACTGCCAAGTAAGTACTCTGAGGCTCATGAAACTTGCTCCTTGAAGGGTATGGGTTAAGAACCAAATTGCAAAGAAAGTTAAAAAGAACAATATCACCTTATTTAAATATATTTGGATTAAGAAGCTAACTAGGCCAGTAGACTATTAGATGATAGGTGTTGAAGATGTGCTAGACGATGATACTCTTGAGAATATTGTGCATAGCCAAGAAAACATACGGAACATTGAATCAACTCAGAGTTCACTCTGGAGGCACAAATAGCCAGGCTCAAATTATCCTGCTTTGAACCCATTATGCAAAGTTTCACCTCTCTGGAAAAAGCTCTAATGCTGGGATAGGTGGAAGAAAAGAGAAGACAGCAACCAGTAACATCCATTTTACTGACATCCATCAGTAAAATGGATGGACTCCGTTATTGGGATGATGGGGGTTTACCATTGGAAAACCTGAAGGACCAAGTTTAGGGATAGATTGTTATGGGGAAAATCTATGTAGTTGCTAAGCGTTGATACTACACATAATTAATCAAAAAGGAAGATAAAGAAATGGCAGAGAAACTGCATGAATTCTTTCACTACTGGGATATAGGACAGGTGCACTTCCTTATTTTGGAGCGGAATCAGATGAACTGTTACAAGAGACAAGTTATAAGCTTCCGTGACATTTTAAAACAAATAAATCCTGGGTCCATCCACCATCCGTTGGGGGGGGGGGCGGTTTCCTTAAAAACTCAAATGTGAAATTGCTTATCTTCTAATAAAAATATACAACTTCTCTTTAAGATCAACAGCAGCTCCTGAGGACTGGAAAATAGCCAAAGTAATTCCAGTTTTTTTAAAAAAGGAATTGAAGGAGGATATAATGAAGATTATTTAATTAATTAACTTAATGTTTGTTCTAGGTAAAGTGTATAGTAGTATAGTACAAGTATATTACTATAATTAAAAAAGAAAATAACCAAACATCCAGAGTTTACTGAGAAATAACCAATATAGCATTTGCTCTAGTAAGTTTTGTCTTCTTAACTTCTAAGTTTTTTTGAGAGAATCAGCAAAGATATACATTGTATGATATTAACTATTGTTTCTGTGGGCTTTCAAAAATCCTTTGATGAAGTTTTTGGCTGAAATCTTTTTTTATATGTTTTAGTAAACAGTAATGGTGCAAACAAGTGCTAATTCATCTTTTAAATATACAGCCACTGATAAATCATACAACAAAAGTTAGTGATTAATATAAACAGTGTGTGTATTGTATAAAAGAAACACAAGGCAAATTGAGATAAGAAGACAGCACTAAAGAGAAAAGAACAGAGAACTGGTTACCAAACAGGAAACTAAAATAGGGAATAAAATTACAGTTTTAGAGCGTGGTACCAAACGTGGTCCTCCATGGTTGGAATCAGTGTTTTTAAACTTGCTTATACAGAATTTGATGTTAAAGGACAGAGGTCTCCAAACTTGGGGACCCCTGTTATAGGGGAATAGCAAGAGGCTGAAATTTGCCAATGATATAAAAAGTAGGGGGTACAAAAATGATTGATTGCACTGCTGTTGTTGAAGGCAGCAAAGTAGGAACTGTAAGAGACAGACAGCAGCAGGCTGTTGCGAGGTAACTGAAGTAACTTCACCCTATGGCACAATTCAGGAGGCCTTCCAATAACAACAGCATGAAAGAACCAAACACATAACCAAAAGTGCTATTAAGAGCCACTAAATCACCCGAAGGTATCTCAATTAAGCAGATTGCAATCTTCATCCTGCTGCTATTAAAGATCGTGGGCACTTTGACTGAGCTGTTCTAATTAGACAGATTGCCAGATAAGGCTCTTTAAATGAAGCAAGCAAGCTGGGCCCGTCTCTTCTCTGGCTTCCATTCTCTGCCAGGCGTTGTCTCTGTTTTTGCACATTCTGTATTTTACCCTTTGGGGTTGCAGCGTGTTTACTTGGGTCTTTGTTCCTGCAGAGAAGTGGAAGGAAGGGGACTTGGGTTTTGGTGGACTTCCAGCTGCATAGTACCATCTGATTCAAAGAATCCATGATGAATATACAACATCGTCTCATAAAATGGCTACTGGAGCTCTTCTTTTGTATTTGAAGATTTTATGACTTGCATTAGCTGGTGATCTCATATTATTCCTCTGAATTAAAAACAATACTTTTTTTATTTTATTTTAAAAAGCCTTTCCCTTACTTTCAGTGGAAAAAGAAACGAAATATCTGTTGAAAAGTTGGAGGGCGTAGATTTTCTATCTATAGTTCAAAGTATTTGTAGACTGTAGACTAAACTCTAGAAATGTATGACGACTTTACATTTCCAATCAAATCTCACTGGACCCCTCAGATTCCTTCACCATTGACCATTCTGGTTAGTTCTTGTGGGAATTATGATATTAGAAAATAGCTGTAGCATCATCCCAGTTTTACACAAAGTCTTTCTCCATTATGCACATTTTAAGATAAAACATTTCAAAAAGTAGCCCTGAAGTAGTATGTCTCCAAGAATTTGTTCTGGAATAGATCCATTCTTTTAAATACCATTTTTAGAATAAGTAATCTGAATGAGGATTACAGACTTGCAGGACCAACTCTGGAAACAGGGATAATATTTCCATTGGAATAATAAAGTCTGGATTCTTTTTCCATGATCTTATTCATAATTTTCATTTTATTTTTTAAAAAATAAGACAGTATCTTGACAAACTAGCATAGTGTCATCAAAACCAAACTTTGAGATAACTTTGAGATTTGATCCTGAGCTTAAGAAACTCAATTGGACTCCCTTTGCTATCTCAACATTGATTCTAAATATCCATATTCCGTCTCTTTCATCTGCTCAATCTAGTTATAAACCTGATCCAGCCTAGCATTCTTTAAATCCAGCTACCTACTACTTTAAAGCCAATTCTGCGGGAAGATCTACATTGGAAAATTGCACAACAACTGGGTATACATTGCATTTTCAAACCATATGATTTATGTACAGATTACTCAAAAGTAAGTCCTCTGGATGCTGACAGTTCTTACTTCCAGACCAGCGGTGCAAGATTTAAGGAAGGAAGGGCATCCATATGGAGAGAGCCTATTTCTCAGGGGAATTACATTTGACCCTAGGAAAAATTCTTGTTCTTTTCCTAAATTGTGAATGGATGTTACCGAACAGAGAGTACTTTGCCACTTCATGGGATTCAATAATTTTTTGTAGTCCCTCCATCAGTTGATGCTAATTTGAATTTCTAATGTAACAGAAGGAGAAAGTTCTGTCCAATATATGGAGAGTAATCACATTTAACTAATTGAAGTTTATATCATAACTGTATGAAACTCATTCTAGTGGGAGTATGGCCACAAAGCATATTATTTGAATGCCTCAGGCAGTCCATGACCTAAACATGGGTCCAATGTCCTGTGCCAGGTGAGTCTTGGAGTCTCATTGATGTTCTTGGCCAAAACTAGGTTGCCTAAATTAGTTAGAGTTATAGGAGCTAAAAACAAGATCTGAGGCACTAGAATCCATTGCAAGTCACTATTATATTAATATGATGTTATGTGCATTCCTACATAATTGTGCAGATCATGGAACCATATTTGTGCCAAGACATCTACCCCATGTATATATGTAATTTGCATGATGAGAAGATGATGCATGTGTTGTCACTTGTCCCCTCTACCCCCACCCCTAAATGACCATTCACAGGTGCCACAAATCTTAAAGTTATCCATGCTTGGTTAAAGGAACAGATTAGTGTTAACCTGTTGGGGTTGAATGTAATAAACTCTTGTAGAAGACCCCTTACTGACTCTCATGGAGGTTGAATCATCCATCAGACACAACTACCTTTCCCTCCCTTTTTATTTTTATCAGGCATATTTAGCAGAGTCTTGTAAATATTGTTGAATAGTGACTGTCTTGGCCCAGAGAAGCATGTAGCTGTATAAATTGAAACATGATGCTGATAATCAAGGGTTGGAGAATGTGTTTAGTCTACTCTTGGATGGATAACGAGAATGTGTATCAGTGAATACTTTTACAGGCAATGGTTGTTAATATATTAGGAAAAGTTTTCAACCCCAACTCTTTGATAGCTACTATTTGAATTACATAAATAAAAGAGGAATGAATAGCATACTGCAACTGCTAATAGATTTTTTTTTTCCAAAACCCAGTCATTCCACAGTGACATAGATCACATAAGCAAATGGTGGTTGTTTTTTTTTTTTTTTGAGAAATAGCTAACGGAAAGGCCTTTTCCCCTATACCATAGAAGGCAAAACGAACCTGGGATGTTTTAGTATTAGAACATTGTCAGATAAAAGAGGGGACAAATCCTTGGCGAATTGCCATTGGTCATCCAAGGAAATTACAACAAGCCACAAGGAACAAATTGAAACATGGTAGCTTTTTGCATATTTTTCTCACAGAGGTATCTCTGTTTATCAGACATCAGTAATAAATATTAAATGTAAAAATAACAAAATGAACTTTGATATCTGCTTTGTTGAAGTTGAAAAGAATGCTATGACAAGTGTCTTCAGTCTCACTAGATCCTGGAATGCCTACATCAAAGAGGCACAATGATATAGCGGTCAGCACTATCAGACAGGCCCCACAAAGATATCGGCTGAAGTCCCGCCTCCTGCAGTGACTGGGTGATTTTGGCAAGATAGTCTCTCTCAACTCAACTTACTTCAGAAGACTATTGTTGTGGGGGAAAATGGAAAGAAGCAGTGCCCGTTCACAGGATTTTATGCTCCTAAACAAAAAGTGGAATATAAATCTATTTTTTAAAACTTTTTTTTAAACAAACTTTATTGAGTATACAACTAAAATAACGAACAAACACATACACAACATAGAAAAAAAGTGGGGGGAAACCCACAAAAAATAAATAAAAGCAAGCAATTCCACTATCAACAGTTTGTGGTTCCTTGTTTGTTATCATTATTGGTATCATATTTACAAGTAAGTCTTGATGCGAATATGTAATTACTACCTCCTTTACAATTTAACAATATTTACTAATATATTTTCTATCTTTGTTCTGTCCAGTCATGCCAACATTCCCAGCTTTTGTAATATTCTGATGATTCTTTATCCTTAAGTGCTAGGGTCAATTTATCCATCTCTGCACAGGTTGCTAACTTCTGAATAATCATTTCCTCTGTTGGAATGTCAGCTTGTTTCCAACACTGTGCAAAGGCTAATCTAGCTGCAGTAAGTATGTGCAATATTGTATATTTGGTTTTTTTAGGGAATTGTCTATTAAATATCCCTAATAGGAAGAATTCTGGTTTTAATTCAATTTGCTCCGCCGTTATTTCTTCCAACCATTTTTTGATTCTGCGCCAATATCTTTGGGCTTCAGTGCAGGACCACCACATATGAAAGAATGTTCCATGTTTCTTTTTACATTTCCAGCAATTTGGATTCATGTTAGGAGACATCTTCGCTATTCTTGAAGGAGAGAGATGCCATCTACAAAACATTTTATAGGCATTTTCTTTATATGTTGCTGATTTTGGGATTTTATTATTCCTGATCCAGACCTCTTCCCATTCTAATAATATAATGCTACGTACAATATTTCTACTCCAAGCTATCATATTGCCTTTGACATACTTCCTCCTCTAATTCTATCTCTAATAAATGGTTATAAAATTTGGTTATATTTTTTTTAATCTGGACCTAGTAAGATTTTATCTAGTTGCTGTAGCTTACTGTAAACTCCAAAACTTTTCTTATCCTGTCTGTATCTATTTTGAATTTGCAGGTAAACACACCAGTCTACTCATAGCCCTTGTTCTTGGAGATCTTGCCATGGTTTAAAAGGTCCTTTTGCATCTAGAAGGTCTTTGTATTTTATCATCTTGTTAAGATTCCAAAGTGGAATATAAATCTAAAGGTAAAGATAAAGATTTCCCCTGTCCAGTCATGTCAGACTCTAGTGGCAATGCTCATCTCCATTTCTTAGAGGGAGCCATTGTTGTCTGAAGACATTTCTGTGGTCATGGGGCCAGCATGACTATATGCCAAGGCGTATGAACACTGTTATCTTCCCACCAAAGTGGTACCTATTTATCTGTTTGCATTTGCATGCTTTTGAACTGCTAGGTGATCAGGAGCTGGGGCAAGTAATGGGAGCTCACCCTGTCACATGGTACTTGGGTCTCGAACTGCCAACCTTTTCTAACCACACATTAAAAAACCCTAAATATCAGCCTAGAAATTAATGCTGAACTGCCAGCCATTTTCCCATTCTCTTCTCTATCCCATCTATAGCACTCTGTATTTTGATCCTGAATTTCAGCCATAGGTGGTTTAGTGAAAGATTGGTTCTACATTTTTCTAGCCTTTCCCCTCCTTCCAATCCTACAGTGCTAAATACAAGTATGGATAAATACATGCATAAATCCAGTAGTCTAAATATAAAGAACCACATTTGACATGCTTGATAACCTGAAACTACTCAATGGGATTTTTTTGCTTTGAACCATAGATTTCCTAGCTGGATTTCAAAATGCCACAGTTTTTTTTTAATTCTACAGTACACTGTTTTTTAAAATGAAAAACTTATGATACAGAGGATAATTGTCTTTAGAATAAAACAAATCTCCCCCCCCCTTGCTCAAATTAATATATTTAGATCTTCTTACCTTCAGAGTTAGGAGGATACATTTCACATTATCTATTCATCTGTCAGAAAGGGAATATCTAATTCTGAAGCTTTTATCAGCAAATCTCAATGAACATAGTTTAAGAGTTCTGCACCTTTTGTGGGGTTTGCAACTACTAATATACATGTTAAATAGAGGAGCTCCAATTGAGGCTGCAAGAACAGAGACACACTGTATGTCAAATGTCTTTCTGTGCAGGATGTAATCTTAGATGGCTATGATGCAGACTAATGGTAACTACGATGTTGGTCCAGAAACTACTTATTACTTTAATAAAAGGAGACATGTCGAAGATGACCTAAGAGCGTAAGAAAAATAATGAATAGTAATTGTATTGGGGCAAATGTTAATGGCTCTGTAGGTGTTTTGCTTCTAGACAAAGTCTACCATCGATATTAAAAATTTAATGAGTTTGTCTGCAAACTTCTCCATGCTTCCTCCTACATCACTTCTTTTTGTTTGCAATAGTTTTGGCTCTTGAGTTATGTGGCTTTTCATTTCCTCTTGCTCACTCATTTTAGATTGCCTCATTTACCAGTTTATTAACAAGCAGAATTACTTTGTGGATACTCTCCCAAAAGGCTGCAGCCAGCCATCTTCCTTCACCCCATCTAAGCAGGGCTTCAGAGAGATGAAAAAAGATCAGAGATTTTCCTCTTATCAAGAAACTTTCTAATCCTCTCCCTAATGCTTGCCAACTGTTAATGTCAGAAAAAAAAAAGAATCATTTGAGAAAATCCTTTCAAGATTTGACAATGAACCAGTTTCTAGTAGAGTGAAGGGGCCTCTTGATGGGTTGTTCTTTTTTTAATCAAATGCTAAATAACATAAGGATCTTCTAGCTCTTATTTCTCCACAGAGGACTGAATCGAAAGACCTACAGATCCCTTATTTGGATTTTAAATGATGTGGATTTTGTTTTTAAAAAGTGTACCTAATGTCCAACAGACATGTTCTTAATAAGTAACACAATTATTCTGTGTCCTTCTAGATGTTGCTGAAGGACAATTCAGCGCCATCTGAATTCAGGATTCTTCACCTCTCTCGGTCTCCTGGGAGCTGTTGGGGTACAAACAAACATCTGTGGGGAAATGGGTTCCTTACATGTTTTTAAAAAGTAAATCAACAGTAAAACATAAACCCCTAAATTTACTTTATTTAGAGAAATAAGGGAAATCCACTGGAACCCAGAGTGGTTGCAGATGCAAAGAGCAGCTTCAATAAAAAGTTTAACTGAGCAGAGCGGGAAAGCCTATGAGGAGAGGTTTTGATTGTCTATTTGCACTTTTTATAGAGTACCAGTGGCCTTTGTGATTGGCATTCTCATTATTTGTGATTTTCTGTATCTGCCGGTGATAGGTGGAGTTTCAACCTTTCTGTATGCTTTAGCTTTTTATTTTATGCATGTGGAAAGCAGATAAAAAACACATTATGTTTTTGAAGCAGAAAGTTAGGTCACCTGTGTAATATGTTCCTGTATTTTCCTTGTTTGTCATACCTATCTTGTTGGCTCAGCCCAGTTTCAAGGCTTCCTTGTATGACCTGCCATCATATTTGGATCTCGGAGCATGTGAGTGTTCACAACAGCCCTTTGACTATGGTGAACAAGCTGCAGGTAGCAATGTTAGCCTCCACCGAAACACTTGAGAAACCACCACCACCACATCTGTAAAACAGCTACATGCAGCAGAGAAGCCAATATGAGCTGTAGACCATGAGGTGAAGCTGGGAATGACTCTGTCACTTGTGGAATAGGCCACTCCAAAGAAGAAGAGCAGCTGCTGCAAGGAATCCACAGGGAGCCTCATGGTTGGATTGCCTCACTGAGATCTCCTATGACCAAGGGAAGGGAAGGAGAGACAGAGGAGGGCATATTGTGCAGAAGATTGCAATGGGAAGTCAAGTATTGTGGAAGAAAAGAACCAAATCATGTCATTTCCATAGACTCAACATGTCACAGGTTGACATTGGTGGCTATTGTTATCATTGGTGGCTATCAAGAACATTAAGTGTTGGAGCAAAGTAGAGTTGACTTTAGACCGGTGGTCCTTGCTGTAGTATCTGTGGGGTCTCTGCTCCAGTGTAAAACCACAATAAGATTTGTGTTTATTTATTTGATATCACCTGTGGTTTTACACTGGAGCAGGGCCCCCACAGATACTATAGCAAGGACCACCAGTGATGGTCAACTCTACTTTACTAAAGTCAACTCTACTTTGCTCCAACACTTAATGATCTCTTCCCAATCATGTCAAATCAAAGGTCAGGGTTTGTCCAAGATATTTTGCTATCCTAAATGACCTTAGATTCAGTGCTGTCAAAGTAGTAGGGGAACTGGCCAAGGCATCTCCTCCGTACTATGTGTTTATCTCTGTAATCTCTGTTTCCTTCTTGGTTATGGTAATAAGCAAGAGCCAAAGAGCTAACACCTGTATGTATGTAGTATAGGACCCAATATGCATTTTATTAAAATAAAAACAAGTATATGGTGCTTAATCTGGGAGCCCTCAAGAGTGTTGCCTTTTTGATCAGCAAATGGGAATCCAGTCCTTGTGGCATCATTGAAAACACATTTTATCTCTCCATCCATCACCAAGTTCAGAGTATATAATTAGCTGTATTTACTTGCCCCATGAGATTGAAAATCTGAAGATCCTCCCCCCCATTGTTACAAGCAAACTATATTAGCAACTAATTAAGGAAATGACTCTTGGTTGCCATTCAGTCACACCTCCAATGTGCTGCTTAAAGTGAGTGGCTCACTCTGACTTCTATTAGGGCTGGTTTAAACCCCATTTAGTTTATTAAAACCAGTCAATATAATTTCAGTTTTATGATGTCATAGATCTAAAAAAAAGCCCTCTCTGTGTTATCTATGAATTTTGTTAAATCAATTTTTAAGCATTCTCATCAATCGTTATGAAGTATGGAAATGATAAGCTGCCAGAGATGTTTTAACCTTAGTTCTTGTGTTCCAAGTCTATATCTATTGGAAGCTCCGAGACTTACTTTCTTCTTCTTGTTTTAATTTGACATCATCAGTCACTGAAAGTTTGGATTTTGTTGTAACGTTTTATACGTATATACTTTCCTATTTGATTTCAAAGCTTTCTATGTGAATTTCTGGTGTAACATTTCCAAAACTTGTATCTCCCCTCTCCTTAACTACTATGTTTTATTTGGCACTTTTAATGAGAGATTTTATCCCCTCTTTTCTTTGCATTGGGAATCCCTGGTCTGAAGGTCCTATGACCTATGGGAATTATTGTATGGATTCTAAAATGAGAACTAGGCAAGAGATTGAAAGGCTGCTGACCTCACCTCCTGTCCACTAATAAATTGAGAGGTATAGGACTGAAGAAGTAGCAGGTAACTGGGAAATCCTTCAGATGTTCAGCTTGTAGTGAAGCTTCCATAGATTTTTCTCATTAGGGTTAATGGGGTTAATATGCAAAAATTTAGAGCAGGGGTGTCAAACTCAAGGCCCGTGGGGTGTTTAGATCTGGCCTGTGGGGCTGCCCTGGGAACAGCAAAGGATTGGCCCTGGTGCCTCTGCCATCAAAAAAGGAGCTCAGGGGGGCATGGCCCTCCCAATCTCCATTTTCATTGACAGAGTGCTCGGGCCACCACAAGCACCCCCACCACAAGTGACATTGAGCTAGCCACACCCACCCTACTCACCCATCCCAGCCCCCCAAGGTCAAACACAACCCTGATGTGGCCCTCAGTGAAAAATGAGTTTGACACCCCTGTCCCAATTTGTGTAATCTTGATCTACTGTATCTGATCTGTTCTGTTCCCTCTGATGATGTTGATGGTAGTAGTATCTACATCTGGCTCCCCTTATACATCAGTCATAAAAATAAGATTCTTTGCAGACCTCTCTCCAACCCAGCCAGCAGAGAACAGTCACAAGGGATTGCTAATTTGGAGGGTACAGGAGAAAAAGTGAGCGAAGTCCTATTTGCTCATGTCCTAAAAAAACATTTTTGGTGTCCCAAAAAGAAACATGAGCCCAACTGCAGGAAGAATGACCCAAAACTAGGAATTGATAATTACTTGGCGATTGAGTTTGCTATGCATTAACTTGTATTGTTATGCTAATAGACAACAGGAAAAGAAAGATTGAATTTTAAATGAAATGGAAAGGAAGTCCCTGGAGGTATGTAACCTGGTAATATTAAATACTCTCACATTCTCATTTGTTCAGATTCAAATTGTTGCTCTATACAAACGAGGAGGAATCTGGTAACGTTCTGATATTTTATGAAAAGGCATGAGTTGTAGCAAACTTTATCAGTGATGTATCTGATTTTTATCACTATAGATTAAGATGGTTCTCCTCCAGTCAATGCTGCCTTGTGTTTCCCTTGATACGGGTCTGGATAATTTATGATCACATGAGCTGGATAAACCTCCAGTTCTTGCCTGCCTGGGTAAGTTGTTGTTGTTGTCCAAGGAGTGATGTGTGGAGTATGTCTGCATTTTTCCTAACTCTTCTGTCCTCAGTCTAAGAGGATTGGAAAAAAAAAAACCTAAACAAAAAGAAATGTTCAGGGAAATTTCCATAATTTTGAAGAAATCTTTGCACTTCCCTCAGTTACAAGGTTATTTTAGAGTATGTGAACGTCCTGCCTTCCACCGAACAATCAGCACTTCAACAGTGTATAACCTGTCTGGCCTCCTCTCAACCCTGAGGGAAAACATCAGGAAACAGAGCGATGACGAGCTCTATAAGGGGAGGGGAAACCTCAACAAAAGATTTCCATGCAATGATACAACAAGCTGAAACAAATCACCCCAAAGAAATTCTGAGAGCTAATTCCAAAGCTTCCTGAGAATGAGGCTGAGGATCAAAAAGCTTTCCTCCTCCCCTTTTTTTCTCTTCTGCAGGATCTTCTGCAGGTTAGACTGGGAAGAACATGAGGTATTCTGAAAGAAGCTGAAGGCAAACTACTGAGGTTTTTACCCCCAAAATGTTGTCATCAAGACTCAATATTAAGACGTTACATTGATGCCAAGGCCATGTAAATACGACCACTGACCAATAAGGACATTTGCATTTTCAAGAGCCACCTGCATTTTACAATTTCCACATATGATCCATCTGGGATGAATACAAAATTTCAACTGAATCCATGTTGATTGCTATAGGGAATTTGGGACACAGGGAAGGCTAAATGTGAGCTTTTTAGTTCACAAAGAACGGGGTTGGTGAGAATTTGATCAATTTTTAAAATTATGAATGGAGTGGAAGGAAACAAGCCCAGTTTTTTTTTTCTTCCATGGCTCTTGGATGTTTCAGGGTTTCTCTTCTCTCTAGTTTGGAGAGCAATTGCTGCCAAGCATTTTTGAGTCTCTTCTGCTGGTATTTTTTTTTTTAAACAAATGATGACTGCCAATAGATTGACAGTATATCTGATAAGAAAAACAGAACAGCTACGGCTATTCTCAGCATTCTTCCTTACCCCTTCCCAACTTTATTTAGTAATTTTTAAAGGCATAGAAGTAGGGTCAGTGAGAGGAAAAAAAAAACCTGGCAACCAGATTAATACATAGCACTGCAGTGCTAACAAGAAAAGTGTATATTGTAGATGTATTTTGGCTCCAGTCCTATGCATATGTATCTAACTTAATTGCATGTATTTCCAAGAAAATACATGAATGCTTGGGTTATTAATTGCTTTCTTCTTCTTTTGTGCATCGTTGCTCTAGGCTTCAGCCTGTTAGCTGGGAAAGACCACACACAAGCCAGAGCTGACTCTTGGCTACTAAGTGGACACGTAATCCATGCTGTTTTCTTGGCAGCAAAATGGGAATAGTGTGTCACAACCTTCTCCCAAGATGTTTTTTTTTTTTCACAACTACCAACACTAACCTAAAACTTGGATTCCTTGATATCCTCTCAGCTCCACTTGGCTTTCAAAACCAGACAAAGTGTTGAAAGCATGATTTTATACAATTAACCAGAAGTAAGACCAATTTAGGGGTACTCACTTCTGTGAATGAGTATTAGAATGTGTTATGAAATAGTCCAGCTACATGCACCTTTTCTTGTAAGTTTCACTATTTGAATGGGTTTTATTCATAGGGAGCTGGGAAAGTAGACTGATTTATTTTCATTTTTATGGTACATTAGAACAAATGGAATTATTAAAAATAAGAGGGAAAAAAAGTTGTTCCAGGCTGCAATCCTCCTGAGAAGAAATTCATTCCTGAGCAACTCATTCCTCAAGATTAACACTGGGTGGAGCAGGCCTCTTTTGAGACATTAACCTGAATCAGAGTGACCAGATAATATTGATTTTGAGGGCGGCCATGTTTAATTTTCAAGGGGTTGTGAAATGGACACGCTGACCAACATGTTATTGCATACCTGAATCTGTTGTGGAAGTTTCAAAGATATTGTCCTGGAAGATTTACATTGCTTGCATTAATAACTTCCTGTCCTACTTGTAGTGTTAATTAACTGAGCAAATCAAGGATGATTATCTTATCTCACCAATTACTGCTGCTTTAAGTGAATGGTCACCAACGTTGTGCTTCAATTGGATTCACAGGCTGGGCATACTTTATTTCAAAAAAATGTTTATGGCTACTAAGCCTCCTCATTCCATATTTGCAAATATACCTCATCCCGTAGTCCAAAACGACATCGGGCCAACAATCTGAGCCTCACCAATGAAGTTATTAAATGTCAGTGCTGACTTCCTAAAGACCTTGGCTACCAGAAATTAAACATACATATATAATGGTTGTAGTTGTTATTATTTTTAATTTTTATCTAAAATATTTGAAAAGAGATTTATTCTAGTTAAGGGGACTTTTCAGAGCTTTCCATCTCTTCGGAAAGCATTTTTGGAATGCATTTAGGGTTTCTTCCTGGCCTTCTCTGAAGCTCGATATTATTCTATGAATCTTAGATTCTGATTTACTTATAAGATTGCCTGCATGCCATCTGTACATTGTGTGACATAATTGGACTTCTGTTGAACTGTTTTGTAGTGATTAAAAAGGGAGATGGGAACTGCTTGTGAGGAGCACATGCTCAGAATAAATTAATATTCTGACTTTTCAGCATGTGCTTTGTATGTGTGATTGTATTCAGAAATGCTGAATGTCCACAACTTCATAATAATGATTTAAATTCTAAGGGAGGTGTTTTAGATGCATGCTGCTTCAAGTGTTTCACTAACTTAAATGAATGGTGTGGTCTCCAAAGAGAGTCACGATATTGGCAGGCAGTTCTAATAATAACCAGTTTCAAGAATAAAGAAACTCTATGCCCAACTATGTCAAACATTATTGCTAATGAGTACCATTTTCTTGCCAACATGTACAATTCGTTTGTCATTCTGGCAAATCTAACGGCCGCCTCATCTATCCGGAACTTTTCTTCCTTACCTAGTGTCAGGCTTCACATCTGGGCTTAACAGTAAATCACAGATTTACAGACCCTTAAATCAATTCTTGAATACCCAGCAGCAGCAGATTTCCAGACATGATGTGGTAAGATGAGAAACTTTACCGGAGACAAGAACGTAGCCTTAAATAAACTGTAGATTGCTAGCTGCAGTGGTTTTTATGTATCTCTGTTATCTGAAGCTTAAAATGTTAGGTTTCTTCCGCCTGCCGTTTTGAATTAATGCATATTTGGCAAGTCACTTGAGATATTCTGGGTTTCGAACTGTGAGTAACCAACCAGCCAGCCAACCAGCCAACCAACCAACCAACCAAGGGTTTGTGAGCAAATTTAAGAAGGTGTTGCAACTGGTTGGTGAGCAAATTTAAGAAGGTGTTGCAACTGGTTGGTAGTGGTGGGACTTCAATAGGCAAAGCTGGAGGCCTGTCCGATCACATCCCTGCTCTAATCGGATAAGCGTGCCATCTGGGGAAATCGCTTTGATGGTTACAGTAATCACCTCTGTCCAGATAGTGCCCTAACATTTCTGTGGTAGCTTAAGTCTACCACTGCCCTTTCTGTCTGCTCACTCACTACCCCATGGACTTTCTTCTCTTTCTTACCAATAACGAAGGATGTAGAGTTTAGGCAGCAATCAAGGCAGCCAAAACGGAAAGGAGCTGAGTAAAAATTTGAGTTCTTCAGATTTTAGTTGATATCACTGTCCATAAGCCTAAGAGTACTATGGATCAGAGGTAGCCTAATAGATATTGTGCTGTTCCATTGATGGGGACAAGAAAGAGAAGTCAGGGGTGCAATAAAAAAAAAGGTTGAGATTGACAGGATGGGTGGTTACTGTTAGGATGTGTATCTTTTAATTGCTTTTTACCATGGACACCTGAAGAGAAAGTAGGAGGAGGAGAAAGGAGATGGTGGTGAACAGGATGGGGTGTATAGAATGGATAACCAGACTGCTCAAAGATCCAGGCCAAATTTCACCTGAACACTCCTTGCCACACTTCCAGAAGATCTCTGAAAATCCAGACCCCACTTTTCCAGAGGTTCTCTGAAGGTTGGTTAACAGCAAGTGTGGTAGTCATGGTTTGAAATGAAGAAAAAGTTCTTTATTTAATTGAGCTCGGAGTCCACAAGACGCAAGGTTCATAACTCATTGTTTGATTCAAACTTGGAGGCGGCCTAAGAAGCCAAGACTATTGCTTTATATATCTACTTGGATTGTTATTTCATTAATGTTTAAAATGTTTTGGCAGCAACTTCCCTGACAGATCTGGCAGACTGGAATAACTTGTATTTTGCCGCAACCAAGTTTTTTTTTTTTTTTAAACATAGCTCATGTTTCTGAGCTTGCTTCATCAGAGTTTTTCAAAGCTATAATTCATTCCTGCAGCATTTTTATCCAGATTTTCAGATTCTTATATGGCTTTATTTGTTAGTGTTACGTTAGTATGCTTGAGGCAATTTAGAAACCATAAATCACTGTGTAGCCTAAAAATAATTAAAAGACACAAAAAGAAATTACCAGCAACCTTTCTTGAATAGCAGTAAAACTGTGGATGGAGATAAAAATAGCAGCACCTGATGCCCCCAAACTTATTTTTAAAGCATTGTGGTACACAGATTTCTCCTGAACATTAATAATGAAGGGTGCTGACATAAATATATTCATGTAGCTGCTCCCTTGGAGATTGCTTTCAGTCTGTTTGACTTAATATGTACACATTAATTACATGCTAATTCCACTGTTTTTAATTGGCGTTGGTAGGAAAGAGCCTTCCAGCCATAGATCTAACCTGACAGGTGTGGGAAATAAACGCCAAGGGCCACCATCCAGAAAGAAAGAGGAGCAAGTTAAATCCTATTAAAAACTAGTGCAATTTTAGCATCCGGATAATAGCTTCTCAAGACTGTGTCTTTAACGAAGTGCTCAGTCTGGCTCCAAATTTTATGGCATAACAATTAGCAGCAAATAGGGGTTGAAGAGCAGCTTTTTCCGTTTAATTTTTCATCCTTCATTTAATTGCAGGTGAATTAACAAAATTATTGCATATTACTTATATAATATCAGAAGAATAGATTAGCTGTAACTTGGGCACAGGGACGGTAAGTTACTCCGCAATAACAGCCTGCTCGCTTCCTGTTCACGCACATAGATCCTCCTCCTGCTACTCCTGGATGGGTGTCACTTGTTTTGATGGGGGAGAAACCATTGATCAGTGATGTAGAATTGAAGAGTTTTGGAAGGTACCATTGACCTATCAAGCCCAACAAGCATAGGGAAGTATTTTCTATTCAGCTTCTATTTTTAACCATAACCAGCAAATGGGAATTCCCCACCAATTTCAGTAATCACTTTAATATTAACTTCTTTTTACCATTAGGAAACTTTTATTATTGTTATTATTTATGGTATTTAAATTTATTATAGCCACCTGCTCCCATAGACTCTGGATGTATTCCTACCATTCCGTTGAAATCTCTCTTCTGATAGCTTGTGATAACATCCAAAAGTCCTCTATCCCTGCCGCTTTCGGTTACAAAGCTTCGTAGACATTAAGACTGGGAGTGATTTGGAACAATGGCCCCCAACCTTTTGGGCACCAGGGACCGGTTCTGTGGAGAGAGTATTTTCCATGGACCAGATTTTATGGCATAACGTGGTTGGCTATGGCGTGGTTTTACATGCTGCCTGCCTCCCTTGCATGGGGCTTGTTTCTGTGGCCTGATTTCTGGCATGCTATGTACCTGTGGGGGGCCCCTGATCTGGAAGACCTGCTTCCACCCAGACGAGGGCTTGATTATAAATTAACTTTGCTCAGGACAAACTTCTAATTTTATGTTTTCTTCAGATAGAGGCCAATCAGCAGAAGTGTCCCATCTCTGTCTTCTTGAATCTGATGCTCTCCCTAAGAGTGAGGACAGTTGCAAAATATTTGGAGTACACATCTTGATAGAAGCTAATCTAGCTCTGCAATCACATGTGATGGTACTGGTGGTTTAAGCTATAAGAGCAGTACTTTTGTTCTGACAGAATTACCCTCATGTATAGTCATCTATTTCCTTATGACTTGCAATATTCTCTAGAGCAGGGGTGTCAAACTCGTGGCATCATGGCATCGTCGTGGCATGACATATCACAACTTTGCCCCCTTCGCTAAACCAGGTGTGGCCAGCGCGCAATGCATCTGGCCTGCGGGCCAGAGATGGGAGTTTGACATCCCTGCTTTTTGAGGGAATCACAGAAGGACCATTTTTGGAATAGTCTATCAGGATTGGCATGGAATTGCAGCTATTCTGTTTGGCCATCTTTGTTATAAATACTTAGTTGCAATGTAATTCTTCTCTCCCTGCCCTCATAACCCAAAAAATAAAATTTCCCAAACAGCACACTTTCTGTAACCTTTCATATTTTAAACTCTCTGACTTTTTAACTTGGTTTCATGGCTTCTCTGCAGAAGTCCAAACTGTCTCCATGGTTTTAGTTGTTTTGTTTAAGTCAAATTTTAAAAGAATGGGATGAATATCATCTGGGAATAAAATGTTTGGTACTCCTCCTGAATCTATTCTGGGCTTCTTATTTGGGTTTCCCTTTTCCCTCCTAACATAGTGGAGTTTTACTTTTATTTTTACATTTCTTAAAGAAGAAAAGATCAAGATAAGTAAGTAAGCTAAAATAGGATTGCTGTCTTTTTCGGCCTTTTCAACCATAATAGAATGCCTAATAAACATGGATGAACCAAAATCTGAAAACAACTGTTACCGTGATTCTTAATAAAGTTTGTCCGTAATATAGGATGAGTTGCTCACGTGATAAAATAGTACATTTACTATTCCCATGTTTGGGAAGAAAATTGTAATTCCACTCACAGGGAATTCTTGAAGTCAGGCTTCTTTTGGTTCTGATATTTAACTACTGATTTGATAACATAGTATCTGCTCTCCAAAGCACCTTCCCTCTCCTTTTTTATCTGTACTGTTAATAGCAATAGCACTTAGATTTATGTACTGCTTCACAGTGCTTTACAGCCCTGTCTAAGTGGGTTACAGAGTGGCCAGCATATTGACCCCAACATTATTGCCCCCGAATTTTGGAAGGATGGAAGGCTGAGTCTACCTTGAGCCAGTCAGGATTGAACTTCTGGCTATGGGCAGAGTCTGCCTCCAATACTGCATTTAACCACTGCAGCACCATGGCCCTTTGAAAAACACGCTCTGGCCTTCTCCACTGATGCTTCATGCTTCAGCTCTGTCTCACAGTTGTATGCCATTCCCAATCTGTAGGCCCAGAGCCATACACAATCCCACCTGGATCTCCTTCAAAAAGTATTGCTAAGTTGTCATTTTTTAATATGACAGAACATTCCCTGCCCGTGTATGGAGTGACTTCCCCAATTGGAGAAACTGTATTTATTAATTGCCTTTTGCCCTGGCCCTAATTTATTCCCTTGTCTTGATTTTGCTCATTTTTGAGAACAGCCCTCTGCATCCCACTGAATGATCAAGGGCCATCCTTGGCTTGAGAAGGGGATCTCTCTCTAATCAATCAGTTACTTCCAGAAACGTGTTGATGGATAGACAGAAAAAAGATTTATTTAGTCAATATGAGTCTAACCATCCCTTTTGGTCATGTATTACAGATGTTTTCCATTCCTGAG